TATTAGATCAAATAACGATTCCTAGATAGCAACTTGTATCAGAAAAGGCAAAAATATATAGTCACTAATGTTCCAATTGTTCTACTTTAAATTAAATGTCAAAACAAATTGTAAATGGCTATAATTGAAACGTATGCAATACAAAACTGATTACACCAAAATTCTTGCCAGTTCTGTTACTCGTAAGAACGTTATTGTTCCAGTATAACTCTAAAATGATTGGTATAGAATAGTTAACTCTATAGAGAAATAAAGAATTGTTCGAATGACTGGGTTATTGCTTGAGTCTAGTAATATGAACCATTTTAGTTAATAATAAGATGTATTCATCTTAAAATACTTTGGCATTGCTATATGTTTATATGGTAACAAACAAAATTTCGAAATGAGATATCCTCTTTGAGGTAAGATATATAATATTCAAGATAAAACTCTGTAGAAGTAAAAAAATACATCAGTACAGGAGTTTTTCGCCTGTTCATTCGAAATGGGAAAAAAAAAGAAATGTTAAAGAGGAACGGAAAAAATAAAATTCGACAACTGCAGGACTCGAACCTGCGCGGGCAGAGCCCAAAAGATTTCTAATCTTTCGCCTTAACCACTCGGCCAAGTTGCCACCTATTTGTGGAAATTTAAGATTCTAAAGTAAGTGATATTTAAATAATTACTAATTTTAATTCCGGATCAAACAATACAAAATTAACACTAATTACCTAAATCAAACACAATTACAACTATTTTTAAGTTCACGAACAAAGAACTATGTTCAATTAGGTAGAAATCTGCTGACATTGGTCATGTGACTTTTCTTATAAAGCCATATTATCATGTCTCACGAGTGTTTGTCCGAATCGAAAACTCTTCAAGGTATCTTGAAGTATAAAAGAAGAATATATATAGTAATATAACAAGTAACTATGTATAAATACTGGTTTGTAGTATTATTTTGGCTCATTGTGGTCACTTTTCTACTAGATAACTGGATCATTTCTTTATTCTGATACATAGTTATTTATTATATTACTATACATAATGTTCTTTTATACTTCAAGATGCCTTGAAGAATTTTCACTTCGGACAGACACTCGTGAGACATGATAATATGGCTTTATAAGAAAAGTCACATGACTAATGTCAGCAATAAAACTAAAAGAACGATCCAGTTATCTAGTAACAGAGTGACCACAATGAGCCAACGTAATCCTACAAACCAGTAAAATCGTTTTATATGTCATTTTGTTTTCCCAAAATTAATTCTATGATCACTTTTAAGGGACCGTGACGCTATGACACTATCAGATTATTTAAAATTGTAGTATTTATCTTCTTTATAGGTTTTGTCCTTGTGTACTTTGTTTAAGGATGAGTTATTCTTTTTCTGTCCCAGTTTTTAGAAAACAAAACATTTTCTTAAATTAACGTTTTCGTTATTTTTTTTCACTGTCAGTTGTTAGTTGAAGTTGATATTAAACTGAAAGCTAATATCATCTAACAAAATCTTAATTTGATTTCTGGAACACAAGATGAAGTTAATTTACCTATTCAAAGAAGTTCAAGTTTCTGGTTTAAGCTTCGATTTAAGTTTAATTAAATTTACTTTAATTCGAGTAGATGCAAGAAAAATGTATGGCGCTGAAATGGACCAATATAACCATTCCCGATAAACTTATGAAAAATCTATCAGGGGTATATCTCGGTGAGTAAATGCCAGGGTTAATCTTGTTTGAAATGTAAATTGGTATTTAGTACAGGTATTCAAATAAATTTATATTCTGGAATCCTCTATTATCAATTAAAAACAATAGACATGAGAATATCCTGAAATAATTTATCAAATAACTAAATTCCAGAGTGTAATCAAACGTTCTCTTGGTAGATGAGCCTACCAATTCATATTAAAAGATAGTAAAGAATTAGGTAACCTGTTCAGTAAAATATTAAGTAATAAGTTTGTTAGTTGTAATATCGTAATATTGTAATAATAATAATAATAATAATAATAATGATAATAATAATAATAATAAACCAAATTTAAACGTAAAGTAAAAAAGACATTATATTTCTTTTTCTCAATAAAGACCTAAACTAGAAAATACAGATAATGTGGATATTTTTTTTTGTTGCTAATGAATGAAATTGATAACTAGGCACTAAAATGATTAGTTTTCTGGAATTTCAATTTCACCAGCGTTGATAGCGTCAATGATATCGTGTGGGTTTTTGAAATCAACACGACAACCAACGGATTGAGCAGTACCCAAGATTTCCTTGGTGACAGAAGCCAAGTTCTTACCGAAAGACTTTTCTCTCATTTGTCTAGCAACTTCAATGATGTCATCTAATTGTAAGTTACCAGAGTGCTTGACATTCTTGTCCTTCTTTCTGTCTCTTGGTGGTTCCTTCAAAGCGGTGATAACCAAAGAAGAAGCAGATGGAACAACAGAAGCAGTAGCTTGTCTGTTTTGGATTTTCAATTGGACGGTAACTTTAATACCTTTGAAATCCTTGGTAGCCTTGGCAATATCTTCACCAACCTTCTTTGGAGACAAACCCAATGGACCAATCTTAGGAGCTAAAGCAGCGGAAGCACCAACTTCACCACCGACAGCTCTTAAGTATAAATATTTAACTTCATTTGGATCAAACTTTGGAGGCATTTTGTCTAGTGCTCTTCTTTTGGTACTTGATCAATTGTTAAAAACAACAAGAAAAATACTTATAATAAATTAAACACTTAAGTTTTTTTTGCAACTTACTAACTAAATAACCAAGTTTAATAACTAACTACACTAAAGCACATACATTCATTACACACACATTCGATCTCATTCACTCACTCACTCATTCATTCGTTCTAGTTTCTCTCTGTAAACATACATGCTTTACACAATCTTTCAAACAATTCTAACTACTCATGGCATAGATAATAAACAGCGTATTACCCAAACTAACAAAAATCCAACTTCCTAACAATCAATAATTATTCGAAAATCAATATTTTAGAAACTATCTCAATTGCATTAACCAACTTTACCAATTATTACAAAATAATCACGTACCCAAACTACATTATAATAATGAATCGATTACTACAATACATAGTAATAGATAGTATCTGCATTTTGCAAATGCGATGAGCAAGGTGAAAAATTGCATGTTTTAGCGTCTAAAATGAAATTTTCAAGAAAAGTTTCAATAAGAGTTTTGATCTAAAGTTGCGTCGGTCGATCATTTTTCAGTTTCAACCATAGTTTTCTTGAAATTTACAGTAAATTTATCGTAGAGGTGACCTTGGTTTTCTGGATACCGAAAGTTACGTTAGACAATTTTGTCTGGTCGCGCCCGGGAATACCAAAGAGCAGTTGAACGCTAACCTAGCCTAGCCTAGCCTAGCCTAGCCTAGTACGAATTGATAGAGAGCTTAGAGAGTGATAACGAACCTGCTTGAGCCTAGATAATAATATTGAGATGAATATATGCGAACAGTGAGTATAGTGTAAAATCTCAAAGTAAGCAGTTAATGTTTCCCAGTTGTATAATACATGTGATGTGGTTTAGAAGCTGAACGTGGGTATCTGTTAAGTAAAATGCACTTATCCCAAATGTTTATGGAGGCTTTTCTCTTGGAATTGAATTCTTGTTATCCCATTGCTCTCAATTTTTGTTTAATGATGACCGTACATACTTTATCTTTATCGATTTTCCTTACACAGAACTTAATTTTTCATCGATGTTTACAATCTTTCTTTTATTTTTTATTTTTTTTAAAAGCGTTTGTCATACACCCATACATTTTCACCCAACACCTGTACATTACAAGAAGTCACTTGAAATACATATTCGTTTTTGATGATTATAATTGGAAAATATCACATGCCGGATTAAGTCCAAACACCGCACTTAAAACAGTTTATATTGGTTAATTAAGGCAGACTCGTATTTACTAGGCGGCTAATATATACAAATCTGATACTCTTTTAAGAAGAAATAAATGAATATAAAAATGAATAACTTTTTCTAAAGGAAGGGACAACAGTTTCTTACATACAAGGATACTTATTTACTAGTTACTAGATAAACAAGAGCTTTTTATTTAATTGGCCTATTGGATTAAAAGAAACCTTTGGTTGCTAAAGAATGACCAACAATCTTTTCTTGAGTCATCAAGTCCAAATAGAATTTTGAAAACTGAAGTTTTTGTATTTAAAGGTAAAAATGATCCAACTGAACTGAGGTTTCGTGATATTTCTATTTATTACACTGACTTCCCAACAATTTGTTGTAATAGAGTCTTGGGTCGTTTATTTCAGATTACATTCAAAGAAGTAAGGTATTGAATTTGTTGAAATTAGTTTTGTCAAAAAACCCAACAATGTTCAAAATATAGAAGGTAGATTGTTCTGATATAAAATGGAAATTGATTTTTAACATAAACAAGAGAAAACTTCTCGATACATCAATATCTCACCAAGATTTCGACAAAAACTTCAGAATTCATTAATGATTCAGGTTTTTTAGTCATTATAAAGTCATGTGTCTCTACGAATGGTGTAATTTCAAAAGCCTTCTCTATTCACATGTCTCTATTGTTGGAATTATGAGTTGCATGAGGGATGTATTATGAATGAACAAAACATTATATATGTTATTAAATCGTTCATAATGTATACATTAAAATATCTCGCTAGGATTAAATGTTCTATCCCTGTTCTCCTTTAATTAATGGAGCGAAATATAAACCATGACTTTTTTCGTTACTCCGGGAGTAAAACCCACTGATATACCAATAAAAAGCTTGATCTTGTATAGGAACAAGTTTTACATATATTGAATTACTGAAAGAGCCGGATTACATTGAAAATACCGATATTCAATTAAATTTTGATAGCTATACTTTACAAGAGAACTTAACCTTTGCTGTGCTTAAGATTGCATATTTAAAATCTTCAATTAGATTGAAACATTAATAAAAGCAAAAAAAGAAAAAAACATATAGAGTAATGAACTTTATGCTGAATTCAACGACTAAAAGAACACTATTCGGAATATGTAAGATATCTCGAAATAGCAGGTACAAATACAGTAGTATATTGATCAGGTTCAACCATACATCAGGAACAAGTGATGCAGAGAGAACGCCAATTGAAGAGTATGATCGACTGGTGAAATTAAACAAATTGAGAGACGACCAATACCAGAGAGGCGTTATAAAGACTTTAGGAACTCTTTACGATGCATTAAAAACTTACAAGCCACCTGAAGTTAAAACACCTTCTGCATTAGATCAAGTAGGTTGGAAAGCAAACATCTTTCAAAAATTCAAATCTATCTACCCAACGAAGAAAGAATCAATAACAGATATAGGACAGGATATACCTAAAGGTATATACTTATACGGTGATGTTGGTTGTGGGAAGACTATGTTGATGGATCTTTTCTATTCTACAGTTCCTTCACATTTGAGTAAAAAGAGAATTCATTTTCATCAATTCATGCAAGATGTCCATAAAAGATCTCATGAAATTATAAAAGAGCAGAATCTTGATGATCTGGGTAGAGAAAAGGGTGTTGAAATTGATCCTATCCCATTCTTAGCTGCAGAAATTTCAAATACTGCAAGACTTTTGTGTTTTGATGAATTTCAAGTAACCGATGTTGCCGATGCAATGATTTTAAGAAGGTTGTTGACTCTTTTGCTATCATCCAACCATGGTGTTGTATTGTTTGCTACTTCAAACAGACATCCAGATGAGCTATATATCAATGGTGTTCAGAGACAAACTTTCATCCCTTGCATTGAACTTATCAAATCAAGAACAGCCGTGACACATTTAAATTCACCAACTGATTATCGTAAAATTCCACGCCCTGTATCATCGGTATACTATTATCCAGAGAAAGGATTACAGTATGACTCTCGTGAATGTGCTTTATTCAGACAAAACCATGTAAAGGAGTGGTATGATTATTTTTCACAAATTCACATCGACAAGAATCTTGATAACCATAAAGTCGTTGATGAGATTGTTTACAATTACAAATTAACAACGTGGGGTAGAGAAATAAATGTTCCTAAATGTACTGTTTCCAGAGTAGCTCAATTCACATTTAAAGAATTATGTGGCCAACCACTAGCCGCTGGTGATTATTTGACGCTGGCAAATAATTTTAAAGCATTTATAATAACTGACATCCCATTTCTTTCGGTTTACGTTCGTGATGAAGTTAGAAGATTTATCACATTTTTAGATGCAGTTTATGATAACGGTGGAAAGATTGCTACCACAGCAGCAGATAAATTTTCAAATTTGTTTGTTGACCCTTCGGAATTATTAAATGACTTTGAATTGAAACCAATTGAGAAAGAAACAGATACCAAAGAAGAGGAATTACTAGAGAATGATGAATTAGTAACTAAACATGGGTTTACAAAAGAAATAGCGAAAGGTGCTCAATTGTTTGCATTAGATGAAGAAAAGTTCGCTTTTGCAAGAGCTCTAAGTAGATTATCTCAAATGAGTTCAACAGAATGGGTTAGCAAATAATCTTCCAACCAATACCTTCTCGCCTCCTCACTACCCTTCCGTCATATCTAATTCTCAAAAATAGCTTAATATGAACACTTTGAATCTTCTTGATTCAATGTCTTGATGCCACTTTTTAAAATTGATTACGACATTTTACGACAAAAGACTCTCAAAAAATTTAACATCAAAAAAATCAATGGAAGACATTATCAATTTAATGTAACAAAAAAAAATGAATCCAAATGTCATGTATATAATATGTATTACTTATTTACCTACCTATCTACCTACCTACTTTTAACCCATCTTTACCTTCAATCAAATAATCATTGTTGCTTATTTGATACATACTGGTTAGGCAAGTTACCCGAAATCCTAATTTCAAAGGTTTGCTTCGGAACTAAATATAAGTAAAGGAATAGGAAGAATATGCAACTATTGGGTTAATATTTGAGTAAATGTTGATATTAAGAAGGGTAAGGTATTGAATCAAGTTAATTGTGGAGTACAATTGTGTTGTTTTAGATCTTTATTGTATGCTAAGGAAAGTTTGAAGGGATCTAGGGTTGGAAGAAGAAAAAAAGTAATCTAATAAATAGTTAAAAATATAACATGTCAGGTAACAGAGAGCAGGTATTTCCCACCCGTATGACATTGGGTGTCATGAAGACCAAGTTAAAGGGTGCTAATCAAGGGCATTCTTTATTGAAACGTAAGTCTGAAGCCTTGACTAAACGTTTCCGTGATATTACCAAGAGAATTGATGAAGCCAAGCAAAAAATGGGCCGTGTAATGCAAACAGCAGCATTCTCATTAGCAGAAGTTTCATATGCTACTGGTGAAAATATTGGTTACCAAGTACAAGAGAGTGTCTACAATGCTAGATTCAAGGTCAGAGCTCGTCAAGATAATGTCAGTGGTGTCTATTTACCACAATTTGAATCATATATTGATAAAAGTATCAATGATTTTAAATTAACTGGTCTAGGTCGTGGTGGTCAGCAAGTCCAACGTGCAAAGGAAATATATTCAAAGGCAGTAGAGACATTAGTAGAACTAGCATCTTTACAAACTGCATTCATTATATTAGACGAAGTTATTAAGGTTACAAATAGAAGAGTCAACGCCATTGAGCATGTTATCATCCCAAGAACTGAAAATACAATTGCATACATCAATAGTGAATTGGATGAAATGGATAGAGAAGAATTTTATAGACTGAAAAAAGTGCAGGAAACTAAACAAAAACAAACTGCTAAATTGGATGAAGAACTAAAAGCAAAGATGGCAGAAGAAGCTGCAAAATCTGGAAATAACGAGTCCACCAATGAAGAAGAAGCAGAAACGGAAACAGAAGGAACAATGACTATTCAAACAGAAAATGAAAGTACTAATGATCTTGTAGCTGACAATGAGGAAGATGTTATCTTTTAATAACTTGACAATTAATTATCCACAATTTCAAAATTTTACAATTTCACAATTTTAAAGTAACTTCAAAATGTTTTAAAAATGACAAAAACTAAAAAGTTATATATACTAAATTAAGATTAAACACATTGATAAATACTTTATATACCTTCATTTATATCATAATATCATAACATTTCCTATAGGCTCTAATTCTTAATCATCTTTTTAAGCCATCTCATCGTTATTGGATACAAACCAAGTTACCTTGATTCCGGGGAAGTTCTTCATGAATGAAAATATTCTAAAGGTGAAGAAATTGGATGAGTGAAATAAAAATAAATGAATGGTATATATAAGGGGAATAAAACTAGATTAATTTTCGAAGTTTTGTTCTCAATTACAATCTTGTTGTTAATTGTTAGTATTGATTTCAATAGGCCAAGTATAAATTTGGAGTTCTAGCTGGTCTAGTTTTAAAATACCATACAGTAACAGTTATGAAATTATTTTCGTTTATTACATTTATTTTGACAATCGTTCAAGTAACCGTAGGTTTACCATTTGTGTCTCGAAGAGTTTTACAATTATCTGAAGATACTACTATTACTGTCCCTGAATATGAGAAGCTATCGTTGTTAAGAAAGGGCGTCAGATTTATCGATATTACTGAACATGTTGAGTTGCCATTTTTCAACAAGAGGCCTGAAAATAAAGTTGTTCCAACTTATAAATACCCAGCTCTAGTTTCCAATGACCAAATTGTTCAGAAATTAATTGATAATATTGATAAACACTCAATGTATGACAATTTGGCTAAATTCACTAGTTTTTACACTCGTTATTATAAATCAGAATATGGCTATCAATCTGCTCAATGGCTGGAGCAAAAAATACAAAATATTACCAGTGGGTTGCCTGAAAAGGTTTTGACAGTTGAAAGATTCTCCCATAATTGGAAACAATACTCTATCATTGTTAAAATTGAAGGATCAGAAACGCCGGATGATATTATCGTAATGGGGTCTCATCAAGATTCTATGAACTTAATTTTGCCTAGTGTATTGGCAGCTCCAGGTGCTGATGATGACGGTTCTGGTACTGTAACCAACCTTGAGGCATTAAGATTATATGTTGAATATTTTTTGAAGAAAGGTCAGAGACCAAAGAATACAGTTGAATTCCATTTCTATTCTGCCGAAGAAGCTGGGTTACTAGGTTCTCTTGACGTTTTCACTCACTACTCAACTGAAAATAAACGTGTGGTTGCCATGTTACAGCAAGACATGACAGGCTATGTTCAAGATCCTAAATATGAACATGTTGGTCTTGTTACAGATTATACTACAGAAGCTTTAACTAATTTTGTGAAATTAATTATTGATGCATATTTAAGTATTCCATACATAGAAACTGAGTGTGGTTATGCTTGTAGTGATCATGGTAGTGCTACAAAGAACGGTTTCCCTGCCGCGTTCGTTATCGAAAGTGAATTTAGCAAAACTAGTAAATATATACATACCACTATGGATACTTTGGATAGGTTAAGTTTCGATCATATGGCCGAACATACTAAGATTGTCATTGGCTCAATCATCGAATTAGGCGATTGGAAATTTGCCGAATTGAAGAATTAGATAATTAGCTTTTATATTTACTTATCGCAGTCTTTTATAACGTAATGGTTTAATTTAATTATGTGATTCTTTATTTTTTATAACTAATATCTACAGGATATGGGAAAAATACATGAAATTAAATACAAATATGAATAGTTAAAAGAGTTTCATCGAAAGTTTCAAATTAGAGGTTTAGCCTTAACCTCCTAATTCTAATATTGAATTCTCAAATTGAAATAAAATATATGCAAGGAAATCATAATAAAATTGAAATTTGATTGTTCATTGTCTTTTATCTTTACCTCTTGGTCTATCCTTTACCTTCAATCTATTTTGGTTCTTGCCTCTTCTTGTCTTATAACCCTTTGCTAATAGACCCCATGGAGATTGTGAAACCTTGTTAGACTTCGACTTACCACGACCACCACCATGAGGATGGTCACATTTGTTCATGGCTACACCTCTAACTTTTGGTCTTCTACCCATCCATCTGGATCTACCAGCTTTACCTAAAGAGCTGTTTTGATGATCAAAATTCGATACAACACCCATGGTAGCACAAGCTTCTAGAGAAACATAACGATGCTCACCACTTTGTAAGCAAATTACAGCTCTCTTCTTACTAGGCAATTTAGAGATAATACGAGCATATGTACCGGCAGAACGGCAGAACTTACCACCACCAATCGGAGTGATACCGACGTTGTGAACAACACTACCTATTGGAATCATGGAAATTGGCAAACAATTCCCCTTTTGACAACTTCTAACACTCAAAATGGCAGGATCAACTTGACCACCCATTTCTTTAATTAAGTCGTTAGGGATACCCTTTCTGTAGGATTCGACAATATCTCCAGCTCTTAAACCATCACAAGCTAAAATATATGATAAAGTACCTGTCTTATTATGTTTCAACAAAGCGATATGAGAGGTTCTACCTGGATCATATTCAATTCTTTCAACAGTCTGTTTACCTGCTTCCATTCTAGAGAAATCTACCAATCTTAGACGTCTTTTATGTCCACCACCTCTGCTACGAACAGTAATTCTACCAGAATTATTTCTACCACCAGTACCTTTTTTTGGAATTGTCAATTCTTTTACAGGACGACCTTTATATAAATATGGATAAATAGGAGTCTTCCACCATCTTAAACCTGGCGACAAAGGTTTCAATTTCTTCATTTTTGTAATTTCTTTAGCCAGCCTACGACGTCTTTTGACCAGTTCATCTTGTTTTTCTAAAACCATTAAATCTTCATCATTGGGAATAATTTTTAACATTTGTGGAGTAATTACCTTTGGAATTCCGTTAAAATTGAGATCTTTCTGTGTGCTAAATAGCATTTCACTATTATGAAATCCTCTCGAACCTAAACCGACAAACCCAGTACTGGAAACAAATCTAGGCACATTGACCCAGATTTTATAACCGTTCAGAGTAAGCATTGTAAACTGAAACTTCGATCTAACACAGTGAAATTAAATCTTAACGTTACAGAACCAATAATAAAAAAAAAATTTTTTGGGAAAGTCCAAGCTAATTGACAAACCTAATTGACACCCTTTTATCGACCTTGAGATAAGTATTTGACCTTTTTCACTCTCTAATGATGCATTCAATACTATCTTATTGCTTTTAATAACTATTGAAAAATTTAATCGTAGGTTTAAATTTTAAGACATTAAACATTTTTTTCTTTTAGAAACTAATTACGAATCACGTGACTAAAATGAGCTACCGAAATTCAAAGTCACATGATCACAATAGCAATGCGATATCACAACATGGTTAGCGGCTAATCCAAATTTCATTCTTAAGTAGATGACAAAGTAAAGAAAGTAGATACTAAAACCCACATAGTCAGTTTTCAAGTGTTCTCGACATTAAAAATTTCTCATCGACTATGGTAGAGTCTATTTTATAAGTAGACCATTTCTTCGAACATGGAGAAAGGCAAAAGTACGTACATTCTTTCAAAAAATCGTTGCATTTTCTGTCGCCAATAAATAAATTCATCTAATCTTTCCTTTAACAGTTCTTGAAAAATTCTAACCTTATGGGTATAACCTTAGGTTTAAAATACTGACTTTGATTTTATTGTTATTGTTATTGCTTATCTTTATAATTCTTCTTATATGTCAATATCCTGATTCTTTTCCCCTCAGACGCTTTTTGTAATTGATTTTAAAAAACATTACCCGCCCTCATGTTGGACTTCCACGTGACTGAACAGGGTAACTTATGAATGATAATAAACAAAGTGACGGAATGACTCCAATGTCAAAGTGGCCAAGAATAGGATTTGCATAAAATAAGAACAAAGACTTTAATCGTCCTGGAATAACTAGGTATAAAAGGGAAAGGAATATTGCTGAGAAGAATCTTCCTTAAGGTTCACTTTTATTATCAAGGTTAATCTTTTTATGTTTGTTAATTCTATTTTAATAAGACTAAGACAATATTACTATAATAGAGAGCTAACTAAATAAATATCTATATAAAGAGATAGAATTATATACTTAGATATTATATAATTTATCTAAACAAGTTCTACATAAAGCAAGCTCTTTAAGTGAAACTATATCGTCAATAACTGTGTTAATTAACCATTTAAGATTGTACCTAATATATCTATTCCTAACTAGACTAAATATATTACCCTACTTAGATTAGATACTTCACGCGTATATTCCACACCATCATACATCACCTTTCGCACGATACCTCAACTAAAAGCATGCTATACGTAAAATCATGTGCCCTAAAATGATTGGAATTTTCTTCATACTATTACCCGGACAGCAGTTCTGAAAAGTATATAAACTCGATGAAAATTTGTCATTTAAAAGTCAAAGCATTACTACTTTAAAAGTGGAATTACATCTTAATCTCTATCTTCATTAAGATATAGAAGTCAAGGCAAGGCACACCTTTAACCACAGGTGTATGTAGAGATATATGTTGGCTGTAGATCAGATGATCTACGTTGATAGATTTCTTTTCGTTGTTGAAGTTAAATATATACTTCAAAAAAAAAAAAGAATAAATTTTTTTTTTTCATTACTTTTACAAGAGATTAACATGATGACCAAGTTGTCGCCCCAAGCGGATCGACTATCTTTTTAGAAATGACAGACTACTACAACATAGCCAAACACTGAAAATTCTGAAAGTTTTTCCTCTTCGAAAGAAAATTTGTTTTTTGCAATTGACTTCAACGTGTATAAGAAATCTATCAATTTGAAAACAGCACCAACGTTTTCCTTTTTTTCCATATAACCCATATCTATTCTTGCTAATGTAATTTGATCGAGTTTTCCTTTTTGTAGTGATGATTGTAGTAATTCTACATTTCTATGCTAATCATGAACAGATATTAATATCTGGAAGGATTAAAATATAAAAACCCTGAATTTTACCAGGAAAGGACCCTCGACTCCTATTACAACATGTCTTACTCGAAATGGTACTTTCTTGAAACGATATACGAAGTAACCAACTCTTGATTTGTCTCCTGTATATTTTCTGGGCTTTCGTGTTAGTTTCGAACTTAAATAATCGTTCTTTTTCAGTACACATTTTTAACTCATTGAAAAATTCGACATTCTTGGACACCTGTCATATTGACAAAGATGGATTATAAAATTAAAAGAAGTATATTTAAAGATTTTGCATTAATGTTATGGTTCATATAAGGTCAATTGGGTCCCTATCAAACAGCTCTGTAATTATCAATCATGGTTTCGACTGAAGAGATACTAAAATTTGATTCCATTGCAGTTCCAATTCCTCAAAGGTTAAATTTATTAATTTTACTAGCTGTTTGGGTATGGCAATGGATATTGCATGTAATCTCTTCCAAATTGATGGATATATCCCATCTAGTGATTACTAGGAAGCCTGGTGATATTAGAGTATCATATTCTCACGGACAAGTATATAAAGCTTCTCGCCAATTAGCTGTTAGAATGTTAATGATAATATTCCCACTTCATGTAGCTACAATGACATTCTGGTACATTAAGGAAAATAGTGATGGAAGTAGCCAATTATCTAACGGTTTTATGTGGATTGGAGATATGCTTCCATTGATTCAATTTGTTATTATAATTTCAATGATATTAAAGAATTCGCCGGTCGTTTTCTATTGTTGTAAAAGATTATTATTAATTGAATCTCAACCACGTCCATTGAGAACCACTTATATTTTGATTTCTGATACTCTGACTTCTTTCTCAAAACCATTGATTGATTTCACACTATATTTGTCCATTTTGGCCTTTGGAGAGCTAAAATTCAGCCATATAGATTTATTAGTTGCATTATTCCCTGTATTCATTAGAATGTTTCAATGTTTAAGAGAATTTAGAGCAAATCCAAAGGATAAGATGCTATTTTACAATATGCTAAAATATGCATCTAGTTTACCAATTTTAGTTTGCATGTGGTTATTAAGATCCTATCCACACTCCAGTCATTATCATACTAAATTCCAGAAATTCTTCATGTTGATACAATCATGTTACACTTTCTATTGGGATTTATTTAATGATTGGTCCTTAAACTCTATTAAAAACATAAGGGTTGGGAAATCTGTTACATTCCCAAAAGAATATTATCGTGTTTCTGTTTTATTCGATTTTATTGTTAGATTTTGGTGGGTTTGGATTAGTCTAGGTCATTACTTAGGTTTCAATTTTACAACCGCCATGCTTTTTGATGGTGAAATTCAATATCTAGAGATAATTAGAAGAGGTATTTGGGTCATCTTTAGATTAGAAAGTGACTACATCTCCATAAACGCCGAAAAATAGATTTAAATACTATCAATCAATCCTCCAATGAAACGATGCAATAATTTGTTTTATAAAGTAGCACTAATTACACAATAATGACGTGGATTGATATGATAGAATAGATGTATATAATGACATTATAAAATATTTATAAATAAATGGATAGTAATAAAAAAATAATAACATCAGGATAATAGAAATGAACAATTATTTTCTACGTTTGTTAGAATTGGCCTTTATTTGGTTAACCTTTCTTTCGGTTTTAGTTAAATATCTGAACTTCTTCTTTTTTTGTTTAGCCTTTTTCACTTTGTTTTCTTCATCTTTATCAGACATTCCTAAAAATTTAGCATATTTAGTCGCCCTAGTTATGCTTTCATTTAAAATCTTTTCAGCTTTTTCTAATTTAACGTTATTAACCTTTGCCAAATATTCAAAATTATCATTTGGTTCCAAAGATTCAATTTCTACAGTGGTATCTTCACCATAGACCGATTTATCAAGTATTTGTTTCTTCAATATTGGTCTTACTTTATCATCATCTTGGCTTCCTTCTTCTTCTGAACCAAACCCTTCCCAATTTTCATAATCATCATTTTCATCCTTACCTTGTTTTTTCTTAGTCTTAGTCTTTGACTTTGATTTTTTTTCTTTATCTTCATCATCTTCACTGTCATCGTCTAGTTCGCTGTCAAATTGCAGTGCCATGTTTCTTTCGAACTCTTTCATTTTACCTTCGAAATCATTCTTTCTTTCATCACGGATTTTTTTTCTCTCTTCTATCTTAGCCTGTCTCTCTTGTTCCTTAATAAACTCTTGGGCCTTCTTCTGTCTTTGAACTTTACGTTTATGGAACCCAGTTAAGAAGTCTAACCTTGAATCTTTATCGAATGTCACTTCATCGGTACCAAACTTTTTTAGTTTCTTGTTAAGGTACTTTTCACCTTGTGTCAAGATCTGTCTATTCGAACGACCAGACATTTCTTGATATTTACTAAACTATAATTTCAGTATCCAAAATTTCCACTCAACTACTAACCTCGTTATTCTTTGTGAATCTTTCAACTAGCTCTTTGAATTTTTATAAAAACGAATTTGTTCAATTCAAGTTCAACGATATAATATTTGTAAAGGATGAGTTAAAAAAACACACACCATAAACCCAAAACCTTGATCAAAACAACAATTCTTGAATCATAAAGATCCTCCTTATCAACAATTAGGACCTAACTATTGATTAGACGTTACCAATACTTTCTTGTTCTAATATGCTTTATCATAGCGATGAGATGAGCTTTTCAATAATTTTTCAATAATTTTTCATATGGCGGTTTTAAGACGGACGGATTTAATGCTATATAGCTAGTGATCAGACAGGCAGACACACATCTCAGAAGTTTAAAGTGTCTCTATATCTGGGTAAGGACAAACCTGATCCAATATAAATTATAAAATAAAACAAAAGAAAAAGGAATAAGAACCTTGAATTGATCTTTATTTATATGTTTTTTCCCACTCTTCAACATTTATATGCAGTTTCAATCAATCCCAGATTAGCAACCTCATGTCTCAATTTCTTATAGCTAATCTTTATCTTTGCTGACCAATATCTTGAACCGTGGGCTATTGTTTTGAAGATAGAAAATCTTCACTATATATATATCAATAAAGAATTTTGAAAACATCAATAAATGTTGCAACTACTCTTCCTCACCTTTTTTTTCTCTTTGTATCATTTCTCACCTCTTACTCGTCAACCTGAATTAGCATACGGATACTCGTCATCGTTACAATATTCATTCAAACGGATTAGAGATCCTTAATTAAGATAAGATATCATCATTCTAACCATTTGAAAGGTTACTGAGGAAATCAATCAAGTTTCTCAAGGTGTCAATGATCTTTTACACAGTTATTCATCTCTTCCTATTTCACTATCTGTAACAGTTTATTCTGGCGTATTTCGCGATCGATTACGTATATCAAATATATATTTACTACAGATTTAAATACTGCTAAAAGCTATAACCTTGGTATTTTACAATGGATAACTAGTTTTAAAGATTGAAACAACTCCAGTCAAGCAACTCAAGTTAGTGTATTAGAAGGCTTATTTCTTTGCTTGATAGCTACCTAATTTTTTTTTCAAAGGTTGTGGAGGTTTGTTTGGTACAACATTGGTTAAAAACCTGAGATAAAGTTTCCATTACGTTTTATTACAAGAATTCAATAAGGTTGATTTTAGTGATTTTTCTTACTGTTAAATAGGTAAAGAGGATACAGATTAATTAAAGTGAGATAAATGAACTCAAATAAGAATATAAATAATCCTAATACGGCTGCCGGGAGTAGTTGGTTTACGAATATTCCCCCTATCACAAGATATTTATTAACTGCAATCGTCACTATTATTGGGTTATGGAAATTATCAATTATTGGATTAGATAAATTCGTGTATTCCTGGTATGATGTTGTGAAACGTTTTCAGTTTTGGCGTATTTTCACTTCATGTATCATCATCATTCCAGGTACTGCCACTCAAGCATTAGCAACAATTTTGGAATTTTATAATTTATATTCAAGATCAAGTCATTTAGAAACTGTACATTTTAGAGGTGACAAGGCTCATTATGCTTATTATATTTTATGTTGCATGATTATCATTGCCATTAGTTGTTCTGCATGGTTCAGATCATCAAAGGAACAATTCATCTTACAAAGTGCTTTCACCTCCTGTATCGGTTACACTTGGGCAATGGATCATCCTGAATCTCAAATATTATACTACGGTGTACTACCTATCAAGGGTAAATATTATCCAGTAATGGAAATGATTATATCTTTTGTATTTAATGCAGGTGAAAACGCATTTCAATTATGTGTCATTGGTGTCTGTACTGGCTACTTTTTCCAATGTTTAGATACCAACAGTTTTGGTCCATTGTCGTGGTGGTTATTTACCAACAAGAATGCTAGTGAATACTCTATTGGGAGCTTTAAACCACCCAGATGGTTTATTTCTCTTTTCTCTAATCTTGATGGTACCAGAATTAATACTTTTAGTGGAAGAGGTAGTAGGTTAGGAAATGGTTCAAACAAACCAGGGAAGGCTGGAACACCTTACAATCCTAGACTAGCAATATTAAATAGTAAAGACAACAACAATGACAGTCAAAACTCGTTTTCTGCAAGAGATTTCTTTGGAACCTCTGCAGAAAAAAGGAAATTCCCAGGAAAGGGTCAAAAGTTGGGTAAATAATATGTCCAATCCGCATATATAGACATATATATATACTGATAAATAGCTCCTACATTATACATTAAAGATTCTTCATTTTAACTTATTTTAACCAGAGTTGAGTATGTCATAATTAAGCATCGCGTTGTTAATTATGGTAAAATCAATCATATGGAATTGTTAAATATAATGTTAAATAAGAATGGTATTTAAGGTTCAGATAACTAAAAGCACGTATAGTCCATTTAGAGTTTAAGGGTACAAATTCAGGTGAATAAAAGTCTCCCAAGTTGGTATAAATGTCTATCCCACCGTTGGTTGAAGAAATAAACTGGAGAACATATAATCCCAATGTTTATTTTACCTCGATAGATGGCCCATCTACAAGAAGTAATCGAGTAAGCAAGAAAACAGCAAATGCATCAGCTTCACGTTCAACTAAACGTGTGAATTATTCTTTGGCTGATCTAGAAGCTAGGTTATATACTGCTAGTAATGAAAATGAGGATGGTAAAGATAATGATCAAACTTCATCAAATTCAGGTATGTTAGCTGAAAAATATACAGAAGCTCAAATTATCCAATCAAAAAAGAGGTTTATGGAATTAGATACAGAGAACTTTAGCGAACAATCAGAAGTTCCTGGGTTACTTTCAAGTTTGACTGGTATAAGCAAGGATAACATTGAATCAAGCTCAGGCGGAGGTTCTAATATTCGTCATAAGAATAAATTTGATATACCCAAAAATTTGGATTTATCATATAGATCAACAAAACCTACATCTACTAAGCGTAAGAACACCAATAGAATTGTGGCATTAAAGAAAATTTTGACCAGCAGAAGAACTTTTCAATCTTACGCTGATACACTAGACAAAGTTAATAAGCAAATTATATTCAATAATGTCTACAATAAGAAATTTCTAAAGGTCCTACCACTAATCATTATTTGTTCAGTATGCGGTGGTACTAATGGTATATCAGGTTGTGTGTCCTGTGGTGATAAGTTATGTTCAGTAGGTTGTTTCAAGTTACATAATGATACAAGATGTTCACACACCTACCGCTGAAATGTAATAAAGACTCGATAAGAATGCTTTTAACATTACTTAAATCAATATTTTGAAGTAATGAATTAGGTTAGATATGCTATACAATTAATGATACAATTGAAGGAGATGTTACCTATTTATGTGGTCGAGACTTCCCCAGCAACATCTCATGCAGTGATTGAGATTTTTTATCTCTTGGAATATTAATCGTCGATTGTCTCTTGATCGTGGACTGATTTTTTATAGGTGTAGTATTTTGTAAGTTTATATCAGACTCCGAATCGTCTATAGTAATAATGCTAATATCTGGTGTGGTGGATTTTCGTAATTGTGACTTTTTACTCGGTTTTTCATATTCAAGAAGAGAAAAACTATCCGCTGAGAATGACAAAGACCCAAATGTTGAGGAAGGTGAAAGTATTCTATTTTCATCATCTGTCATAAAACTATCATCATTTAATGGTGTCCCTCCCAAAATGTTTGGAACAATAATTTTGCTTTGCTCTCTTCTAGGTGAAGATTCTGACAGTAATCCATTCATAGACAACTCACCCATTAGATTTGGGTCCAAACTCTGGTCAGATGCATGAAGAACCTGACTACTACTTGGGTCATTTAAAATTTCTGTATTGGTAGTCTTACTTACTCTATGGACAACTTCCTCCTCAAAGTTCAAAATATCCAGACTATGAGTTTTATCATTGTCAACACTATCGTCATCGCTATCCAAACAAATAATTAAATCCATATCAGGTTCTTCTGAACTATGAATCATGCTAGATGAATTTATTTGAGTAATAGTTAATGAGTCTGTCGATTTTAACGAATCTGTATCTGAATCAAATATTTCTTCCCAACTACCATCTGAATAGAATTTAACTTGACTAACTTCATCCTCACAATTTTCCAATATATCGCTTACAAGTTCGCAAATCACTAAATCTTCTAATTTAGCTTTTGAACTACAAATAGGACATTTCCAATTAGGAATCTGTGATTGAGAAACCAAATACCAATACGAGTCAAAGCATTCAATATGATTACAAAACTTAGATCTACTAGGGTACTGGATTTTTTTAAACGAAATTGGACACTTTAGTGATAGTATGAATGATGAGGCCAGTATATCACCTTCTTCATCTCCATCTGTAATAAGTTTCACAGTTTGGGAAAGAGGTACAATTTCACTATGTTCCAGTATCTCGAGTAATAATTGATCTGGACTGACACATCTTACAATACAACAGCACATTACATATTCACTCTTTAAAGCACCATGTACAAATTCTAGTTGATTTTGTTCACCATCTAATCTCAAATAATTTGTCAAATCAGCGGGGTTAGTTGTACCCTTTTGATTTTTCAAACCTTTAATATTATCCTTAATAATTTCATTATTGAATCGTAGTTCATTAGGCCATGGAAATTTTATATACATCAGATTATCATCATCAGATTCTATGTCATTTACTTCTCCAGAAAATAAATGAAGTTTATAACCTGATTTTTTTTGTAAAATATTTACCCAATGTTGATCTATTGTAAAGCGTACTGTCTCTGTCATCCTTTCGTTACAAGGGTTAACACTCATTACTGAATCCAATAGCAAACATTCTGGCTCATAAAACGGCGATCTCACAAATCTAAAAGATACAGAACCATCGATCTCAGAAATCGATCTTTCACTGGAGATTATATTTATCGTATGATCACTGCTATTCTTCATTTTAATTTCACTTAGAAAATCTTCTAATTCCCCCTAAAAGACATAGAAACGTCTAAATGTCCCACAGAAAGACACTAGACCCTCTTGAACCTTTCAATCGCTGTATAAGATTCTAAATAACTGATGAGATGAGCTTTAAAAGGTATAAATATCTTCAATGTTTAGGTATTTTCAACTTAAATAAGCTTTAAAAAAATGTCCGTTACCCGGATCTCGTGATAATTAATCGAATCAACTTTAAATAGGATAATTAACATACGATAAGGGTAAACATGAATCATTAACTGTCAGGAAATCTCATTATATTACTCTTCTGGTTTATTTAAAGAGAGAATATATGAATCATTAGAGTTTGATGGAGGTTCCTGAGAAAATTCTGTGATATCTGCTTTTGAACTGCAGTAAACCGATGTCATCGAAGAATAATTCTAATGTAATGGAATTCACAAGATATTCAGAATTTACAGATATGGACAATACTATTTGATCAATAGCACAGAGGAAAACAGGATATAATATAATGCAAAATATCTTAACGTAATCTTATTATACCCTTCAAGTTTCTGTTATTCGACTAATATAATAGCACTGGTTATTAGAACAGAGTCATCGCGATGGATATTTAAAAATTAAAGGTAATATAAAATGAATTAGAATTAAGTTAAAGTTTAAGATGGTGATGTTGTTTATTTGAATGACTCGGGGAGAACGTTATTTTTAAATATAATAGAAATAATAGTTAGTTATCAATTTTTCAGTTTATAACAAGTTCTCTCATCATCTGTTATTTAGGTTTTCGATACAAGCTATTATTTTTGTAAAATAGCAATTGACTTGACTTTTGATCCATAGAGGAAAAGGGTATACCACGAGTGTGACAATGGGAGGCAGAATTACCGTTTTAATATCAGGTTCAGGTTCCAATTTACAAGCATTGATAGATGCTCAAAAAGAAGGTAAATTAGCCAATGGTGAAATTGTACGTGTGATATCATCTAGCAAGAAAGCTTATGGTTTAACCAGAGCTGAGAATGCCGGAATACCAACCCAAGTACATTCTCTATATAATTATACAAAAGAGTTACCAAAGGATGATAAAGAAGGCCGTAAGAATGCCAGAGTTTCATTTGAACAAGATTTATGTGAGTTGATCTTACAAAATGAACCAGATTTAATTGTTTGTGCAGGCTGGTTATTAATATTGGGCCCAACTTTCTTAGCAAATATTGGTGGCATTCCAATTATAAACCTACATCCAGCATTGCCAGGTGCATTTGATGGTACTACGCATGCTATTGAAATGGCTTGGAAAAGATGCCAAGAAGAGAGTGAACCTTTGATCGCAGGTTGTATGGTTCATTATGTTATCGAAGAAGTCGATAAAGGGAAACCATTGGTAGTAAAAGAACTACAAATAATTCCGGGAGAGGAAACATTAGAACAATACGAACAAAGAGTACACGAAGCTGAACATATAGCAATAGTTGAAGGTACTGTCTTAGCATTAAATTCTAATAAAAAAATATAGAACCGCATCTCATTCACATACAATCACGTAGTGACTTTTACTTTTCAATTTATGTAATTAAAATTAAATAGATCCGAGCATCTCATGCACCTAATCAATTCATTAAAACCTACTACAGATTCCATCTACACATCTATTCATAATATCTTGTCACCTTCTTAGTATACTGTTGTCTCTTTAGTATGAACCATCGCTAATAATGGAATTTCAATGAAATTTCACTGAAAAAAAAAATTGAGATAAAAATTGTATCTAAAAATTCTATGATACATAAAGGTGTTAGTTTACAAAGGTTAAAGCATGTTTAGGTAGTCAAGGTGTTAGCTAATATCGTGAATTTGCTGTTGTTTAAGATTTAATTGATTGATTGCCTGAACTTTGTTGGGAAAAGATGGGGAAAAATATTGCAAAATACGGTTACAAAAGTGGTGTTTTACCAGTCACTAGAAATATACTAAAGAAACCTACTGTGAATCAAACAACACTTGTGGAGAAAGCTAATGCTCCAAAGAAGTTAGGTGTCAATGGTGTTGGGTATGCTGAAGGTGTTCAACATCCTAGAGGTTCTACTAGAGTTCAGCGTCCAATGGAATTTATTCATGTTGAAAAGTTAATCAAAAAGACTGTCTCTAAGCCAAAAGTAGAGCATGATGTTTCCACTCCTCAAAGACTTGCCAAACATGAGAAATCTGAGTTGCGTAGAAGATATTTGGCTGAGTCGTTTCGTAAGGAAGAGCAAAGGTTGATCTCTTTGGAGAAGTTGGTCAAAGCAAAGGAGCTTGCTTTGAAAGAAGAACATATAAGGGAATTAAAAGAATTGGAAAAGAGTAAGACTTCTGATTTAACTATTCCATCTTTGAACCGTATCCTAAATGAACCAATGATGAGAGAAAGAACTGAGGAAGAAAAAGAAATCTTAGCAATGAAAAGAGAATACAATAATAACTTAATGGAGTTCAAAGCAAAGGAAAGAAGATTGCAAAACCTAATAAACTTGTATCATATCTCTAATAATTTCATCGTTACAGAGGAAAAATTGTTGAAAGAAATTGAGATAGCATTTAGTTATGAAGGTTCTGATAGATTAAGAAATTCATTGGGTGCCGACTTCAATAAGGTAAGAATCAGAAACGAGAATTCTATAGGTGACTCATTGTTTGGTTCCGTTGGTGGAGGTAGCCATGTTGGTTTAGATACAGTTAAAGATTATTTATCAGGTGAATTGAATGAATTTTCAAAACAAATTGATGAAAAATTTATTCAAGATACAGAACAAAAGAAAATTGACGTCAACACTATCTTATAGATAGCATAAAACATTCAATTAGACATATAAATAAAATAAATATTCCTGTATATATCGAATTATTAAGTTATTTAACACCATATTCTCTTTTTACCGATTTTAAATTTGGATTATGTATAATTATTACAAGGTGGCAGAATCAATCCAATCAATTCTTTAAGAACTTCAAATCAGAGTAGTTTAAAAGGTTTGTTGACTGCTAAATTATCTCAAATTACTTTTATTTCATGATGAACTAGAGAACTTATTTAATTAATGATGTCAGTCTTCCTGTCAAATATTCTCCCCATTACCATTAACCGTATATCAACTTTTTCATTGATTACCCGGATATATAAATAAAGGGGAAGTTCTGGTAGCCCCACTCTCAATATCCCCAACATTCCTATACTATATAATGGAATCGTACATTAAAGGAAACTTTTGTTACAATTGATAAAGATCTCACAAGTTGAAGAGGCACATATTGTAGTATAACTAGTCAGCAAATCAAAGGGACATAATTACTTGTGTTTAAACCTATCCCTTCTACTAGTTTAAATCTTTATTTGAATACAGAGTCCACTGCTTTTTGTTAAAATGTCATCAAAGTATAGAGTTGAATATCAATTGAAGAATCATCGTAAAGATGAATTTATTACTTGGATCAAAAGTTTATTAGCTTCTCCATTTGTTTTACATGCTGTTTCTCACGATGACGATGATAATGTCACCACTGAAAGGGTTAGAAGGCAATATGCTGAAATATTTCAAGATATAGAACTATTGATTTCAAGTAAAATTGAATTTGATGCAAAGAATGGGTTATTAGATGTCGAGGAGAGTAACGAAGGTCAATATGAATTAATTGGTAAATCTCGTTTGAATCAGTTAGTTCCATCTATCGGTCCTTTTTTTACAATGTTGCCTTTACATGAAGCTTTCCTATGGGAGGACTCTAAAAGAGCTATATCCCAAAGAAGAATGGTTGCTCCAAGTTTCAATGATGTTAGACATATACTGAACACTGCTCAAGTATTTCATTTTATTCAACAAAAGAGGGAAGGTGGAGCTGGTTTAAAATTAGTTACTTTTGATGGGGATGTCACTTTATATGAAGACGGTGGGTCATTAGTTGACGCCGACCCAGTTATCCCTTATATGGTCAAACTATTAGAATCTAACATCAGGGTTGGTATCTGTACTGCTGCCGGTTATGATGAACCAACCAAATATGAATCAAGATTACATGGGTTATTAGTGGCAGTTCATAGTTCTACTACATTGACTAGTGAACAAAAGTCGAATTTGGCTGTTATGGGTGGTGAATCAAACTATTTATTTAGATATTATGAAGATGGTGACGATTTTGGGTTCAAACCTATTGATACTTCAATCTGGGTGTTACCTGAGATGAAAGACTGGCAAGATCATGATATAAATGCTACCTTAGATTTTGCTGAGAGAACATTAATCACATTGAAGGAAAGATTAAAGTTACCAGTGGAAACTGTTTTGGTACGTAAGCCTAGAGCTGTTGGTTTAGTACCAGGTGAGAAATCAGACCTGACATCTGGAAAGCCTGTTCGTGTCTTACTTTCAAGAGAACAATTGGAGGAGATTGTGTTAACTATCCAACACTCATTAGAAACGTTTAAGCCTGCTAGACGTTTACACTATAGTTGTTTTGACGGTGGTAGTGATGTTTGGTGTGACATTGGTGGCAAGGATTTAGGTGTGCGAATATTGCAGAAATTCTTTTCACCTAATAATCCAATAAAACCATCAGAAACTTTACATGTAGGGGATCAATTTGCTCCAACAGGTCTTGGCAATGATGTTAAAGCCCGTCTTGCTGGGTTCAACACTATGGATTTCATCTCCTAAGGAAACGTGCAATTTGCTATGGAAATTAACTAGGAGTACTAACCTCCCTTTAAATTCAAGGAATTCAGAAAGAATTGGTTATTTAAACCCTTTGGGGGTTTATATTTTTTTTTATTCCATAAAAGGACATTTATTTGAAATGAATGTGGTTTTGATAACTTTACCAAAGGAATTAAAAAATTTATTATGGCATCCTTTAATTTGAACAAACTGCAAAGCCGTATCTAATTTGGGATGGCTTGGGTACCCTGCCCCTTAAATTTGAACAAAGTTGGCGGTTCTTTAGGCCACACCTTAAAGAAACTTCTTAAGATGAACCTCTAAATTCGATGTTGGAAACTATTTCAAATCTCTTCAAATTTTCTGAGGTTTTCCCAAGAGCCAACGCGCTTTATATGGCCTCTTGCCGGGTTGATACCCACGGTGTTTCTCACAGG